TTGATTAGTGATGCAAGTTATATACTAAGAGTATCTGGTGTATATTTGCTTAATTTTACTGACCAAATAGGGTGATCACATTTCATAATTTCAATGTGATTTCACTATATAGGACTCGTAGATGAACTAATGACAGTTTACAATCTGTAATTTAATTGTGAATTGTAATTGTTCACTGTTGAAAACGCATAAACGATCTCATACATTGAATTTCCCTTCCTATTCTTTTGCATGAGATGAATCTATACTTCATTTAAGAATGTTTATTTCCTATGTACCGAAAAATTGCATTAATATATAGTTTGAACCTTTCTCATATTTATAAAATTTTTATACAAGTAAACAATTTCAACTGTGTAAACATTGCAATCATTCTTACCATATATTAATAAAAACAAGTGTTAGTGCCTTGATTATCATAGGATTTTACCGTTTTCTATCAAAATTATGATTTGTTCTATCACAACTTATGAGTTCGGTCAGATTAAATTAAAGTTAGACATTAATACTATTCAATGCCAGCTCAGTGTTCTGGAGGTTATGCATTCGTGCGCAAAACCAAAGGTCCTAGTTTCGAATCCCGAGTGCGTGATCGTTGATGCTCACTTTTGAGGAGTCTCATTATAAGACGAAATAGCTGTATAGTGTTTTCAGGTTTTTAATGGTGGTCTAACAATGATCGATTCATGATCTCAATATAAATTAACAAAACCGAATGAAATGTTAAGTGAAGTATGAGTAAACAGTTTCATAAGTAAGCAAATCACGGTTAAATTGTTCAAGTTCCCCTAATGTTTTTAACATTTGATAATATATCAAATGACTGAAATACAAGAAACATTAGACAGTATTTTAATTGACTGATCACAGAATAGTTACTAATGCCATCTTTTTTAAATCTTAATGATCAACAAATTCTGTTGATTGTGTTACAATTTAGTCACTAGGCTATTTGATTCAGTAATGTGTATAAATTATGTTTTAATTTAAATATTCTTTTCGTTGTAACACATCAACCAGTTGTACCTGAACTGTTAAGTTATTCAAATGATACCATCTTTTTTAATAAATAAGAAATTAAGAACCTTTGTTTAGCTTAAAGATCATTTTGTTCCGTAAACGCTGCTGATCGATGTACCGAAATCGATCGGTAATATTGTTGTCATCTGCTACTTGAAAAAAACCATACACACACACACACCTTGAACGGATTTTCTTTAAAATTCTTTTTAATAAATAACATTGAGTAATTAGTCATATTGTAAATTTATGCAATGAATAAGTAACGTGTCAATGCATATCATTTAAATCACATTTTATACACTTGTGTTATTCATTATAATTAATTGTAGTTAAGTAGTGTTAATTTATTGATTAAGGCGTATGATCACAGTTAATATGAGAAACAATTATTTTAAATAGATCGATGTTATGTAATATGTAACTCTTTTTAGAAAACATTCGATGTGCACTAAGAAAGACTTGACACACATGGCATTGATCGCCACCCAGTGTTCAACCAATTGTGATTACATCTCAGTCCTACAGGAGGTCGGTCACGTCACAGATGGCCTTGTGGTAACGTCTCTGACTGTGAAGCTGAGTGACACGGAATCGAATCCATCAGGAGGCACCAGAACCCTTAGGATTGCAGGTACACCCTGATAACGAGTGCCGAGTAGCACGAAACCCAGGTCCAGGGTTTCCTCTCGACTACCTCCAACCACAATCTAATCTCAACATAGTGCACTCAATGTCGAGTCACCAAGACTAGTGGCCACATTGCAATTTGGTCGGTAGCATTCGAGAAGGACTTGAAACACATGACATTGATCACCACTTGGGGATCAATCTATTGTCATTAAAAAAAGTGATAACCATTTTATTGAAAACGATTCTATTTTATGAATAACCTCTCATATTCGACAAATCTTAATGTTTAAGTAAAAACATGTTGAACAGTATAAAGGAATTCATTAATATCTAAAGTTTTTTATAGTCCCACGCTGTTAGACACATGAACAAATCTTTTATTTGTAACTAACAAACAAGTTATGAACTAACGGATCAATTGGATATATATCTTTTTATGCACTGATAATTTTCTGATAAACCTATATATGGTAAGAAAATGTAAAGTCTAATAAAAAGATCTTTTAATGAAAAAGAAGTTTGATCGTGTAATAATTTGATTAGTTCAAGAATCAAATGATATTAGCAAGCACTGATCAATAAGTTTCTCAACTCCTAATAAATATCTACACCTTTGTTTGGAGTGTCAGAGAAATCAGAAAATTTAACATGAGAACGATATATACAAATATTCCTTTGATTTGTAGTATGTGTTGGTGATACTGACTGAAAAAATCTTCGTAATAAAACAGCAATTTACAATTGAATAGAAAATATTATAAAAAAAGATGGATGGTGGCTAGCAGTGGAATCCAGGACTTGCGTTTCATTTTATTTGAGACTTGTTATCTGGGTGAACTAGTATTTTAGAGCTGATGTTCACTCCGGGACTTAAGGCTATATCAAGGCATTCTGCACAGGATGCATATATGCCGATAACGGACTGATCAATTGTAGTCCTAAACATTAATGAGAAGATTCAAACAAACGATATAAAATGAACTCAAACTTCACCCTATTACGCAAGCAAATGACTATCAGGGCACAGTAGCTAAGTGAATAACGCGATGAAGTTTGGAGCGAACGGTGGTGAGTTCGAGTCCCGGAGGTAACATCCGGCTGACGAGTCTCACGTAGGACGAAACGCGCGTCCTAGGTTCCATTACTAGCCACTATCCACCTTTGCTTATAATGCCTGTGACTTAAGGTTATACCGAGGCAATTGTTATCGGTAGCACATATGCGGATAACAGACTGGTTAATTACAGTCCTAAACATCTGTTATGTTCGTTAAGCTTGAAGGCTACTACTGATTCGTCTTACTCAGAACGGAACGAAGAATCAAGCAATCAGAGACTCGATAGACTATACTGGTCCGTTGTCCCCGACTCAGCTAACTCGATCCAGAAGTCTTGGTAAGATGTAGAAAGTGTATTCTACAGACAACCAGAAATACCAGGTCCATCAGGCACACAAATCAAGCATATATATACAAATATATATAATCGATATTGCCATGGACGTTTTTAAACATTTAATCAATAAGTTCGTCAATCGACCATATGTGTGGGTAGCAAGTAATGCCCAAGCATACATCTGCATGCATACAAGCTCCACAATGATAAAATCACAAAATATGAGTTTTGGGGATATAACGTTCCCAACAACATCAATGGGAAGATTCAAACAATACTAAATGAATAGAAAATATTTCTGATTCAACTTCGACAACATAACAGAAAGTTATCCTCATGTAATTTTATGGCTTCTTATATAAAACATAACAATGACTACTAAAAAGAGAAATTTCAAAATTGTTTTTGTTTTTATGTTAAAACTAGTTTCTTTCAAGTTTAATATGGTTTTTAAATTTAGTGCGAAATGTAGTTTTACGTTATTACATTTTCTTACCATATATAGGTTTATTAGAAAAAAATGCGAGTTATTAATGCATAAAAAGATACATCCAATTGATCGGTTAGTACATAACTTGTTTGTTAGTTACAGATAAGAGATTTGTTCATGGGTCTAACAGAGTAGGATTATAAAAACTTTAGACAATAATGAATTCCTTTATACTGTTCAGCATGTTTTTACTTGGACACTATGGTTCGTCGAATATGAGGGGTAATTCGTAAAATGTTTTGTTTTTATTTTTATTTCAGTAGAAAATAAAAAAAAGTATTGCCAGTATAGGGGTTGTGGAGATTATTAGGTTTTTGATTGATAACATGAACCGATTGATGTTAGACAACCGTTGGAAACCTGGAAGCACCGGACGGCTGTTTCGTCCCGTTATGGGGCTTTTCAGCAGTGTGCATCCACGATCCCGCTCTCGGGATTCGAACTCAGGGCATTCAGCCTCGCGCGCGAACGCCTAACCTACTGGTAGAGACAGGTATCTACCTCAGTACAATGGGAGATGGTCGCGCAATTTTGTGAATTGTTTGGTGTTGGACACTAGCACCAATGGATGCCGGCTCAGTGATCAAGCAGATTAAGCGTTCGCGCGCGAGGCTGAATGCCCTGGGTTCGAATCCCGAGAGCGGGATCGTGGATGCACACTGCTGAAAAGTCTCATAACGGAACGAAACAGCCGTCCGGTGCTTCCAGGTTTCCAACGGTTGTCTAACATCAATCGGTTCATGATCTCAGTCAAAAGATTATTGTGTTTAATACAAGAAAATTCAATTAATAGTTTATTTTCAAAATGCATATATATACATATGTGTATGAATTTTTCATTGTCAATGTACCATAACATTCAATATCAAGGAGGTTATCCAAAAAATAAGAATATGAAATGCAAATTTCTTTGTAGTTGTTATCATAAATTGAAAATATAGAAAATCAGACATAAAAAGAAAACAAAATTTAACCTTTATTATTATTTTTTTCAATTTATATTTAAATTCTTATCAAAATGTCGACATGTCGCTTTGTTTTAATAGAATCATTTAATTTACAACAACAGTTTTTATTATTTCATATAATTACTTTTTTCATTTGTATATTTAGATATTATGAATAAAGATTCAGTAGTAAATTGGTTAACACGATGATGTTTCAAACCAAACGGTATCGGGTTTAAGTACCGGAGTGAAAATCAACTCTGGGATACAGGTAGATCCAGCTGACGAGTCTCAAATGGGACGAAACGCAAGTCTTGGATTCCACTGTTAGCCACTATCCATTTTTTGTTTATACTGCTTGTGAAATAAGGCAATATCGAGACATTCCTCACAGGATGCACATATGCCAATAAGAGACTGATCAATTGCAGTCCTAAACATCAATGGGAATATATATGTAAACAACATCAAGCGGATAAATGCTCGATTGAATTTTTGCTACATGTAATATGTTTTATGAATAGTAAATATGTGAAAGTATGTTAAACGACTCAAATATTTTTAAATTGTGATAACTGGTACTTGAACTTAGTAGGATCTTAAACAAGTAAATAATTTTCAGCATAGTTTCGTCCAAACTTTAAACTTTGATTTCGTTTCACGATGATCTTGTTTGAAGTACTCCTGGAAAAAGACATTAATATCGATTTATTTATTAAGTAAAACCTTAAAAAACAAAAATTGTCTGAGTTCGATAACCGTTTCAATTCGATATAGATTGGATTCTATTGGTCACGGCTTCTCACTAGAACTCTCTATTAGGACGAAACTGCCAAACAGTGTCTCCAGGTTGTCAGTGGTGGTCTAACGTACAACGACTCATCATCTCAACTAATGAAATTATTATATTGTTCAGGTTGTTGGATGATGAAGCGTGTATATGGAAAAAAGGAGTGAAAAAATAACCGGGGAGAAATTATGGAAAATATTAATAAGTAAAATCGTTCACTAAGGATAATTCGGCCAAGAAATAGACAAGGGTTTTATGAATTTCTTATGAATACAAAGACTTAGATTGTTGACTCAGATCTTTATAGCTTCTGTTATGTATTATACTAATTAACCGTTGACCAAGAAATGAGAATGTTTTTCAAGCCAGTCAAGTTGATGATGAGAAATTTTACTTGTAATTAACATTAATTAACATTGAATTTGTTATTTTCAATGATGAAAATTCTCCAAAAAAGAAAGTTCATTTTTGTTGTGTTCTTGGATTTTGATTGGATGGTATCCAGTTACTGATGTAATAAGATTTATTTTATTTTTTAGGGGTCGTTGTATGAAAAAATGTATATAAGTTCACGTTACGTATTGAAACGATTTTATTGTCATGTTCAACTACACTATTACTTAATAAGTTTTAAACCTCATACTACTTGTACGTTTATGAGTAGCATAAAACATGTTTAATAAAATAAGCACAACTTATAAATGAAAAATTTCACCGACAAAACTAGAGACGAAGTTTATTACAATACTTATTTTACGTTTGCACTCATGCCAAAAATCGCGAAGCTCGCTAAATAAAGTATTCTTCGAAGTGAAATTATCCATTATTACGATAGAGTTATCTGTTCAACAATATTATATTCATTCTATATATGGGGGATCTATGTAAATGGTAAATTCCATTAAGAACAACGCAATTACGATTCATGGAAGGTAAGTCATTTTAAACTAAACTCTGATAACCGGTAATTATTATTTTTGGCGACAGATAATTTTAGTAACTAGTCATGATCTCAACTATTGAATTTACTACAATCTCCATAAAACCTCTTCTGAAAGAATTTAAAAAATGTATTAGCTTAAACCTGACCAAGTGAACACACTGACTGTTGTAATCATTTTGAATTTATTTATTTTAACACATAGATATTGGTACAAAGAGGCACCAAACACATATATGCACCACACAAATCTCATTTGATGTGTATGAGGGCTGTGATATTGCCCGGGTTCCCAAACCGAAACAGGTAATCATTTTGATTTAATAGAACATAGTGATGAAATAAAATAGAATTATGTGATATATTTGCGTAATACATTACGAACAATCTGATCATACTTAAGTTACTTGTTAAGACATTTTATAGGAAAAATGAAAGGTCAACAAGACAAATTAAAAGGTAAGTCGAAACAAAGATAATAAAGTACACAAAAACAATGTGAACAACCATGATGGATAATAAAGCAGTATTACCAGGGTAGGTTAAGTGTTAGGACAAATCGATTTTGAACACATAAAGAGGGTTTCAGTTTCCGTATACTCAATGCTTTGTTAAACCTTCGTAATATAGCCAAGAAAGCGTTTGTACATAACTACATTCTGAATTGATAATAAGATTTCAGATTAAACTTATGAGCCGTCGTTGTTTTGGTAGTTTAAGCTAGTTTCATCTCTATATCTTTAGAGAGTATTAAATATATTTTATTTTCATAAATTTGCTGAATGATAATAAACAATCGTGAGGTATAGATTTAATCTATGTTTTATTTATTTCCTTTTAACAATAAAACTTTGGGTAGGATTAATAAACCAAGAAAATACATGAGTTTCTATGATCCCCCCAAATTGATCATAATCATGTGCTCATCATTAACGAACTTCTACATTCTATTTCTAGGGTTTTAATGAAAAGCCGTAACTAATGGGGATCAAAGAAGCCGGGTGTAAGATAGTTATCCACCATAAACCATAGGAGGTGTTGATTGAAGTTAGCCACGTACAGAATTGGATTCCAGGTCATTGATGTGGAGATTAGGTGTTCATACTACGACTGAAGGTCCTATGTCCAAAGCTCGATAATGACGAATCCTATGCTAGGAAGAAATAGCTTCAATCGCTTTCTGATTTTCAGTGATTATCTCACTAAATCAATTAGTGATATAAATCATGAAAAAAATAGTTAGGGTGATAAATGTACGTTAGACTGATCAGGCATTTAGATAACTATGGTAGCGTCTGGTTAAACAGCTGAGTTACGTGTTAGAATCTGGAAATCAAAGGAACAACTTTGTTTGTAAAACATATGATGAAAATAATTACAATCCTCAGTTCGAAGGAAGCTAAAATTATTAAATATATCAATGTCTAAGAAAAAGGAGAAAGCACTTCCTGAAATAGCTATCTACAAACTGTTTACAAAATATAATAATTATTAACTGTGCCTATAATCACAATGGTAGTCACGTATTTTAAAAAGAGACAAAGAGTATAAAACATCAGACTCGTTACAATTAGACAAAAGTTCAGTGAAGCTACTAAAAGGCGGAGTAAGTGCTAAAGACTCAAAGTGATCGTAAAAAAAAGAAACTAATGACTATAAATTTGAATATAAATACAATACAAGTGAAAATAAAATTTGTTACTAAAACTCTATTGAGTAGTAAAATGTAATACACATAATTTAATGGGGTACGAAGAATTGAAAATTAGAGGTGTCAACAGAATTAACGCATTTAATAGCTTAATAACTATATTTAAACAGGAGTAATAGGTGAACAGTTAAAGGTTTCTAGTCCAAACTATTCACTTTAAATAAAGCGTATACCACTAAAATCATCATAGTTTTAGAAAAGTTTTGTAGAGTTGTTAGAAAGAAAATGAAATCGCTTGATATGACAATTGATTTTAATCCTTTACCAATCTAAAACTAACTGAAGAATAATAATGGACATAAACTTTCAACTAATTATATAGTTTTAATAAACCAATGTGATAATTGGAAATAATAAGCTAAGGGCCTTCATGTATATCTATCACCAGTCCATCTGCTCTTTTGGAGGACGGTACATTGGCCGAAGCTAGTGCTCGCTTTCAACTCAGATACGAGAATATTTCCCACCGTGGTTCTACCAGAGTGATAGGAAAGGAGTTAGAAGTTCCATTATTGAACATCTAATCGGCTCTGATCATTCTATTGATCCATAGGTTGATTTAAAGGTTGTGTATACGGTTCATCCAAATCTACCTAGATTTCTTCATATCCAACTCCTTGAAATACCAAAACCTCTTACCATTCATGAGCTAAAGCCAGAATTATGCGTACAAAAGAAGTACGTCCTTTCATTATTTTTACCTTGGCCTTAATCCATTGCCATAGTACTTCTTCCTTTACTTGTTTTACATATCCTCATGACTATTCATAATTGTTCATGGTTTCACTTCGTTTATTTTTGTGCACCTCTATTACCTTTAATCATCATTAATTCTCGTAACAAAAACATTTTGAAAATTTGAAAAACATCCATATTGTGATTAAAAACAACAACAAATGTAAACGAACAATATTGTTTTCAATTAGATCCTCATCAGGCTTTACTTTAATATACAGTAATATTTATAAGCATATACAAAATTATTAAACCAATCAAGGTAGTTTATGAGTCAATGCTAACAATAGAAAAGATTACATAAATAAACACAATCAGTGAAAAGTACAAGTTGATAGTGTGATCAGAAGTGTACTAGTTTTGATAAGAATAATAAAGGCTTAAATCAATGTTACATAATGGGAAATAGGTCAATGATTAGAAAAATATAAACACTGAAATAAAGCATAGGAGTATGTGTATCTACGAACTTAGCTGCTCCTGTGGAGAAAGCTATATTGGGAGCACTACCAGACAACTGAACCGAAGAGTTAGTGAACATCTCCCTTCGTGGTTAGGAAAAAATAATGTCAAGACAATTCTCAGCTCGGTTCTATCACACTTGATCGAAAGCGGTCACGTAGTGGACAGAAACAAGTCATATAAAGTTATTCATGGTATTCCTACTAGTTTTCCTTATGGTGTTCGATCTCGTCTCTTACAGATAGCAGAAGCTATAGGAATTCGAGCCAATAATCCAAATCTGTGTTCATAAGAAATTCGTAACACCCTTATCTCTCCCTTGGACTTCATAAATGATTTATTTCACAGTTTGATGAATTTGTTTGAAAAGAGATCCTTTCGTTGAACTTTATGTTTTTAATGTTGAAATGAGAGTTATCTGTCAATAATTAGCTAATTATGAAATATTTGATTCTTTTTAACAGAAGAACTCCCAAGAATCTTAAAACAACACAGAATTAAAGTATATTACAAAACAACGAACACACTTCGAAGTACTTTAGTTCGCGTAAAAGAAAAAATCCATTTCATGTCTACACAGAACTGCGTCTACAAATTAGGTTGTGTTGATTGTTATGCCTTCTATATTGGAGAGTCATCTCACGAAATCTTGACTCGTGCCAAAGAATATATTTGGTACACAAAGAAACCTCCTAATAATAACTTCAAATTAAATCGGCAATAGCATTTCACGCCATTTTCAACGACCACCAAATCAACTTCAAAAATATCAAAATATTACAAAAAGGTTTTCCCAATTACAAAGAAAGGAGAGTAGCTGAAGCGTTCCATATAATGTTTAATCCTACTTCTCTCAAAAGAAAAGAAGGCCTTACCATACATTCTACCTGAACTATCTATCCTAGCCAGCTAGTCTGATCTTATTTACAATTCACACTATTATCTTACAAATTAAACTCTATCCATTCTCACTACAAAGGTGACACAACTTTCGCCTTTAACAGTGCACACATACATACACACAAATTCAAATACATGTCGCTTATGAATCACCTTGACTGAAATGACATGACATTGATTTATTCATACCTGTTTTTTTGATTGATCACATAATATTCTTCTTGTTCCGTTGTGCTATTCAAACTTGGATTAACTTTGATTTGGTCATTTATTTATTCGCTGAAGAAGTATCTTACACTAAGTCACAAAACGTCAGAAAATCTAATTTTCCTACTCATTGGGATATCTACAAATATATTAATTAATTTATATTTAATACTTTCTTTATGTAAATATTATTTTGATATCAAGTATGACATAATTCAATGATTGTTTATACATCAATGAATTCAATTCATAGTTGGGAGCTTTTATAAAGTTAACTGATTTAAACTTAATCAATACTTACTCAATATCTTTATTGTGTTACTATTCCTATAAAACTTGATTATTGAATTAAGGGTAAACTTGCTTACCTACTTACTTACGCCTGTTACTAATAATGCAGCATAGGCAACAGACCACCATTCTCCAACCCACTCTGTCCTACTCATTCCTTTCCAGTTATATCCAATTGTTATTCATTCTCCTCATCTATGTCTCCATTTCTCGACGTAACGTGTTCTTTTGTATCCCTCTTCTCCTTTCATTAGTCTTGGGGATTACATGTGGGGGCTTGTCTTGTGATGCAGTTCGGTGCGATCCTCAATATGTGTCTTATCCACTTCCAGCGATTCTCCCTGATTTCCTCCTCCACTGGAATCTCGTTTGTTCTCTCCCACAGCACGTTGTTGCTGATAGTGTCTGGCCAATGCATCTGAAGTATTTTGTGTAGACAACTGTTAATAAACACTTGTATATTCTGGATGATGACTTTCGTAGTTCTCTAGATTTACACCACATACAGTAGAACTGTGTTGACATTTGTATTGAAAATTCTGAACTTGGCATTGGTTGGCTGAGAGACAGTTGTTTTGAGTTCCAGATTTTCTTCAACTGTAAATGTGCTGTTCTTGCTTTGCTGATCCGCGCCTTCACATCTGCATCAGATCCACCCTGTTCATGAATGATGCTGCTCAGATATATCAAGGCTTTTACGTCTCCCAAGTTTTCTCCGTCAAGTGTGATTTAGTTGTTGCATTCTGTGTTGTATCGGAGAATTTTGCTTTTCCCTTTGTGTATATTATAGATGTAAACTAAGATATAACAGTTGTCCAATATTGTTTAATTTATCACTAACTTTCTGTCAGGACAAATATGATGATCTACGATGTAACCAATCAGTTGTTTTAAAGTATATGATATGTAAAAATTCTGATTATAATCTATAATTTGTTATACTGATTGTCATTACTTATAATGACCGAAAAATGGTTATATTTAAACTTATATCTTCTATTGCCATCGATAAAATATACTTCTTTTCCGACATGGCTAAAATATACAAATCACGGCTTCTTTTTAGACTTCAAAGATATTTTTGACAAGATAGGATATATATTTATTATTCTAAGGTTTTTTAATTGGTATTTATCTAAAATCAGACTGTGATCTTATGTAGTGTTGTATGTGAACCATATTGATAAGTCTCAAATAAATGGTAAACAGTTATTAGGTGATTCCCGATTCAGTCAGTCGGTAACAATGTATGACCAGGTACATGTATGCATCGGTCCAAGTTGCCACACCTCATTAGCATAACAAGACAAACACCAAATTCACAGAAGTAGTTACTTCAATGGTAGTAATATATAAAAGAAAGATTGCGTTTAAGGATATAATACAGGAAAAAAGAATTGGTTTATAGAAAGAAAGGTATAAATCAATTTTAATCTCACGGTTTAAGGGAAGACAAAGAGTGTATATACTTATGTCCCTGTGATCGATTCCAGTATTCCACTACCTTCGTAGTGAACGAACACCCTGGTGGGGAAAATCAATTTACTGTCTTATAAACAATTACACTGTGGTTTAGTTGTACTTCGGTTTGAGCACTCGTGCAGTATCTCAACGCTCACACAAGTCGAATGATTTGTGTGGCGCATATATATTTCGTTCCATCTTGTAACACTGTACCATTAGTGTTACGTGCTATTTAAATCTGCAAACACAAGTAGCATACACCACACCTGTTTCATTAGTACATGAAGAAAAACAGTTTTTAAGGAATATTCTTAGTTCTTTTAGAAATTAAGAAAATAACTTTTAATTATCAGTTGATATCAACTACTCACTTATAAAGAAACCAGTAATCAATGGTCAGACGTTTCATTATTCCTTACGGTTTCATCTGACAGTGTTGTTTCGATTCCTTAACATATGGAACTCTGAAAATTTGATACTCAGAGAATTGTATAAATTTATTATTTAGACAGAAGTAGGTAACTGAATTTTCCTTATTTCATTCAAGCCATAACATAAAACGACTGTTCTTGGATATCACCACTTTAATCAGCCATAGTTAGTTGTTAGACATGAATCATTCAACCGAACAATTCACATATATTCATTGAAAACTTAAGTCAATTCAACCTATACATTCCAAACATTTTTATACTTGGATTAATGATGCTATTCAACTTTCTGAAACAAAGTACACGAAGTGAAATTCAAACTTTCGGCTAAATCGTTGTAAATCAATTGATTTCATTCATAAACCATCTCATCATATTTACCCAGTACATTTCCTTTTATTTTGTAGATGTAAACAATGATATAAACGAATTGTATTGTACATCATTTCAGTTAAGAAACTTCCAATTTTCGTGTTTTCTAAAAGACATTAGAGATAAAGAGATAAGAAAATATTCATTTGTGTTTTGATTCAAAACACTTTTCTCAGTTTATATTATTGACGCTATTATTATTATTATTATTATTATCATCATCATCATTAATTTTGTTAGTAAAGATCTGCAAATTCCTATCTTGTTCGCTCAACCGCTCCCCTCCCCCTCACCCACTGACAAATTACATTTCCGTGATTATCGATACAATATCTAATTATATTCAAATTAAAACATTTAATGGTCGGATCTATTCCTTTGATATTGATTAAAATCACATTGATCCTCTCTTGTTCTTTTCATTTCTCTATCCTATTTTCCCTGTTTCTTTTTTAATGTTTCTAAATTAATAGTAACTCTTTTCTATTTCAATTAAAATGTAATAAATTTGTTGTTATAATCACTGCTTCTTCTTCTTCTTCTAAATTGTTTTTTTTAATGTTTTGTTTTAGTGCGTAGACATGTAAATTTGTAGGTATATACATATGTATAAGCATATTCTCATGAGTGTGTGTGCATGTGTGTGTATGAATGGAATAATCATCATTGGTATATTTCGCTAGTTACTATTACACTAGTTACTATAATTATTCTTCTCTGAGTGTGCTCTAATATATAAATATGAAAACATATATATGCACAATTGTATATGTGTGTTTATCTTTTCCAATAAATAAATAAATAAATAAATAAATAATCACTAAGATAATCAACTAATCAGGATTCTTTTGATTTTTTTCTCCCCCCCCCCTCGATGTTCATGATTTCACTTGTACAAATTTGCTGATTGGCTATTGGAATGTTGTTTGTTTTTTGGTGTTTTTTTTGAAAATATACAAATTTCAATGTTCAATTATTTTAAAATAAGATTTATGTAGCAAGAATTAATCAGAGACAAATAATATTTGTCTAAACATTTTTTGTTTCATTGAATGCATCTTTGAAAATCCTTCAACTGGTGTGTTCAAATAAATAAATTAATTTTTTTAAAAAATATATTGGTTTTCAATAGAAGGATTTTAATTTTACCGGATTAATTCGAATCAATTATAGTGTAAGTGATTTTATTTAAATCTTTATATTTTATTTTTTTTTGATTGTTGTTTTTGATATTTTGAACTAGAGATGATGGAGAAGATTTGTAGATCAGGTGGATGATTTTGGTGGAGTTTTGTTCTCTGAACAGACGCACCCTTCACCTTTGCCTACATGAACATCAATTAGCAGTCAAACGCCATAATATCTCCTCATTTATATCAATACACGTGGACAACTGCGGACACTCATTCGATTGGAAAAATGTGGAAATCTTAGACAGAGGAAACTCCAAAAACGCCAGAGAATTTTTAGAAGCCTGGCACTCAAGTTAATCAGCAATCAACAAGCATATTGAAATCAATCCAATTTACCAACCAATCAGGAAAATCATGCACAAATATAGGAACAAAACTCAAACCGATGGGAGACACAGCCAAAACAAAGAAGTAAACAATGATAAATTTAAGGTCAACAAGAACCAATCAATATTGAGGTGTACAGAACAAGCTGTGAAACACATAAGGAGAAATTCGAACACTTCACCTCTCTCTGAAGTTTGTGCTGATGATGTCGTTCAGAAGAACGATGAAAGCTCCACGACTGAACCATCCAGCTCAGAGAACAAAACTCCTCCAAAATTTTGAACTAGATTTGAAATGTTTCTATTCTAGGAAATAGACTCATTGAATAGATGATCGGTTATCGTATGTTTCAATAAGTTGTTAATAGTTGTCAGGAGAAATCAAGAATGTTTGTTTCATCTTTTTTTGGAGGGCGATTTTTCGATCTTCCCTTTTCTACAGCTTTTTAATTGGCTGTCTCAATCTCCAACATTTTACGGATATTTCATATGCCTATGTTCATTGATGCTTTAGTGTTAAGAAGGAGCAATGGCCTTTTGGCTTCTGAATAATCTCGGATCTCATCACGTACTGACGAAACTCTTCTAAACGACTATTTTTTAACTATAAGATCAGAAATTAAATGATTTGAAGGATTAATTCTGATTAGCATTTCCTTTAACAGTGTTGTTTTTCACTGGATGAGGTTGCTAACCCCATATTTGAATTTCTTCCTTCATTCGAACTTGGGCTCGTCAGTAACCTTGGTAGGACTACAGGCAGAGTTTAGTTGAAGGTAGTCGGCAGAAAATGTTGCATTTAGACGTTGCATTGGTTGACATTTATTAACCAGGTATACCTGTTGTATAAATGGAATTAACGCTTCTATGGGATACGAACCCACTTTATGACTGACTTTAATTTTCAGTATCAAACACTCAAACATTATAATTTCATGTTTATTTATTCTGTGAGTAAATTGAGTACGTTTTACCATCATAATAAGTTGATCTAATAAAGAAAATATTAAAATGTCATTTAGACCAAATTATGTAATGGATAGATCAAAATCAAATCCTAGTGAAATTATCAAGGTTTCATTTAGAAGTAATTATTCAACCATAATATTCAATGTTTAATCCGTAAACATTATTTACCCACTATTCTTGTACAAATCATTTTAGTGATTTTGATAAGAAGTGAATGATCACCTATAAGGTTAATCTATAATTTTTGCAGTAATTTAAAAGTGATCAGCTGAAAAACTATGAATCCCTCAATCAAATTCGTTGGAGATTTTTGTGAATTTATTAGTTATAAAGTTAACCGACCAACGGATCTTAGACTATTTCCAGGACGCGCGATTCGTCCTGGATTCCACTGATAAGCACTATCCATCTTTGCTTATAATGCTTGTAAATTAAGGTATTATCGAGACAATACTCACAGTATGCATGTATACCAATAAGAGACTGTTCAACTGCAGTCCTAAACATCAATGGGAAGATTCAAATAAAACAATACCAAGTGAATAAAACAACAACAAAAACGTTTAGCTATATATAGTTAGATAAAAATAAAAACTTATCAAATCATGCATATCAAATAAGTATGAACGTCAAACGATAAAGTGATTGTATGAATATTATACATAAAAAGACGTTGATTGTAGTGAAAGAAGTTAATTATTATAATCATGAGCTTAAAAGTCATTAACTTGGAGATAGGATTCTAAACTTCTAGTGAGAAGTTGTAATGATTGATTTTTTCTTGAAACATTTCTAAACATTAGTCACTAATAACATTAAACAATCGTCTTACTACTGCACAAATGAATCGAAGTGGGAAATAGGTTACATGTGTTGTCATCTCAGTGATCTAATGGTAAATGGATCCGCCCAAAGACTTAAGCATATGGATTCGGATCATTGTGAACCATTGTACTATTTAAAGAGTTTCTATCAGAATGAAGTATCTAGTACTCTATAGTTCTTGTTTTTATGCCAAATAAGATTAATCCTCTACCAATATCACATATAAATTTAAAAAATATCTGCAGAACCACATTAATTAAAGCTAGTGATAACTCTTTAGTATATTTGTATGTTATTCTGTATTATTTTGAGCTTATATTCCAAAGTTATCACTACATTTTTTATTTTGAACACAATTAATGCTTAAATTCACTTGGTGTCGCTTTACTTATATCTTCTCATTGTTATTTAGGACTGCAATTGATCAGTCATTTGATAGCACATGTGCATCCTGTGAGGATTGCCTCGATATTGCCTTAATTCACAAGCATTATAAGCGAAAACGCATAGTGGCCAGCGGTGGAATCCAGGAAGTGCGTTTCGTCCTATTTAGTACTCGTCAGCTGAATGTACCTGTATCTCAGAGTTGATGTTCACTTCGGGACTCTAACCCAGTACCATTCGCTTCAAACGTCATCACGTTATCCACTTAGCTACTGAGTCCTGATAACCACCTACTCGTGAAATGGGGTGAAGTTTAAATTCACTTGGTGTTGTTTCTTTAGCAAGACGTAGAAAAACATATATATTAATGGATCTAACGTTAGCTCTATAATTTTTAATGGAATTCTAAAGGTAGAAAAAATTTACCTCTGATGTTAATCAGTATGATAGTGACTATCAATCACTGATTAGAGAGTCCCATAATTGTAAAGTGATATAATATAACAATTACTATGTTCCCTTGTAGTGAACGAGAACACAAGTGAGGACAATCGAATATAGTTGAACACAAAATTACAGAACATCTTCGTAAAATCTGAGAACCATAAAATAAATACTTCATTTGCAAAATGTTAATCAATCGTCTCAGACTTAATTGTTCCTTCGTCTCCATAACGATCATTTTTTGTTCTTGTCCTCTTTTCTTTGATCTTCTTAACCTACTACAGTCAGGTATTTCACTTTCGACTGATGATACATATTACTTATATCTGTCGAGATCAGTAGCACATACCACACCCTTAATTAATGTTCATTATTAAATATTAAGGAAGATTATGTTGTTCGTCTTTATGATTGTTAAGAATCATCTACAGAGTATATTCTTAATAATCAGAAAAACACTTATGTTCATCCATCAAGATTTTAACTTACTTTATTGACTACCTCATTTGAAAATGTGTTCGATTCTAATTTTCAACTGAAGTTTATTATAGATAAGTTGCACGCTCAAACTGACACATCTAGTGATTTATTAATGGACATAATTCTGTTTGCTCTATCCTAACTGGATTGTAAATAGGTGACATTATTAACTAAAGCATTCATTAAATAGCTAAATATACAAACGATATAAATTTCTTGTAGATTATAAAATGAAGAATTAACGAGGACAGATAAACGAAGAAAACTAGAGTCACAAATTGTTGTAGAACACGTTTAGATGTAGCGTAACGAATTCCATTTTTTTATTTTATCATCTAACAAGATAACTCGTTTCCTTACTCCTTAAAGTTATTATCACTTTTTATCTATCTAACATGTACTATTTTGCTTAGGACTGATATTCTTTGAAATTGCTAACAAATCCGCAAATACCACTTTATAACTATGAGTGTTGTATTTCTCATAGGATGATTAACAGAAATGGAATTTAACGATTGAAATAATTCTAAGTATTCACCATAACTATACGAGTCCGACTGGTTACTTACTTAAACTTCGGAGGCAGTATTTCCCAACTTAATGTGCTCTGAAAATCAGTTCTTCCTTTTAAAGTATATTAATTGTCTAATGTACTCAAAAGTTTCTATTTAAAGTTTACAAGACATCTATAGTGTTAAACAGTAAAGAATTCAAATGCAATCACCATAGTAGTTAATACATTTTCTTACGTATCCGTTCTTTTGCAAAATAAAAGACGAATATCTTGAAAAAAATGCATCCAGTATATTTATTGATGATAAACAGATGTCATGCGAGCTAATACTGAGCTGTAGCTAATAACAATTGGAAACGTCTTTATAGATTTGTTTGGAATATTTGCATGTTGCATAGATACAGAAGGGGGATTTAACCGAGTTTGCACATTTTGTACTGATTACTTGTAGAACTATGGTCTACTTCCTTATTAGTACTATTATAATAGACCTAATCCTGAAATCATAGATGTGTCATGATATAACTGTTTAGTCTATAAAATCTTACTTGGACATCACATGTTTGTCTACATTGACTAATCGCATCGTAACAATTAAAAACATGTCAGGAGTTTCTAAAGAACACATTCAGGCTAAGGATAGAGCAATATATTGAATGTGAGTAAAAACAAGTTATACAGAATGATCACACCTGCAAAGCTCAGCCATGCCATCCGATGAATTGAATTCATATTCCCTCACCTTCCCCAATGTTGGTCTTCTCTCCGTGTTAAATAGTGAATATCTATTTTCCCAGTTATCTCGTGTTCAGCTTTGGGAATTGTGTGGTTAGAGCCAAGTATTAAATGAAGCGCTTATATTATTACCATTATTATGGTTATCATATAGAAACGGAGAAACCGGTGAACATGTGACGAAATGAAACATAATATACGTATAAAATAATATTTTCTTTAAAAATACAACAAATAGATGTAGAGCTTTTTCACTTATCTAATACACGAAAGTATAATTTGTTATGTAGTAAACTTTTTTTAA